GGTGGCCTGGGAGGGGGCTGGCCTGGGAGGGGCTGGCCTGGGAGGGGCTGTCGTGGGAGGGGCTGGCCTCTGCTGGAGCTTGATGCCTGACAACTCTCTGGAGCCAGACCCCGCTGTGGGCCACAGGCTCCATCTCCACTGAGGTCTGCACAGGCTCCAGGACCGCAGCCTGAGCCCGGCCGCCCGAAGACTTGGGCCCGAGTCGCGGCCTGGAGGGGAAGGCAGGGCCGCAGGCAGGGGCAGGCAGCGTGGGGCGGGTTCTTGGCCGTATCTTTATTGTCAGCAAGGCAGGGAACGGTGAGAACCAGGGTGTCACGCAGCCTCAGGAGGGAGACGAGGGCCGCCTGGGAGGCCGGATCCGGTCGTTGATCCAGTCCACGTAGTTGGCCACACGGGTGTAGACCCCCGGCTTGTGCAGCCGCCCGCAGCCATCGCCCCAGCTGATGATGCCATGGAGGTAGGCTACGCCGTTCTTCTCGCAGGCCAGGGGCCCTCCCGAGTCGCCCTGGGCAGAGACACCGGTCAGAGCCACCCTCCTGCAGCCAGGGGCCTGGCTCAGTGGCAGCTCGGGGACAGAGGATGGAGGCATTTCTGAGCAACGGAGAGCCGATGCACTCTCCTGAACCTAGTGAAAGGGCGTCTCCTTCCCGGGGGGCAGCACTGGCCGGCCAGGGCATCCCATCACGTTATACCCCTTCCTGAAGCCAGGCCCCCTCTCCCCGCCAGTGCACATCCTGTATGGGCCACACAGCCACCCTGCGTCCAAGCACCTCCTGCAATGACTTCTTCGCTACCTGGCAAACTCCTACACATTCCTCAGGACCGGTGCAAACACCCCCTCCTCCAGGAAGCCACCCTGACTTCACTTAGCAAGGTCCACTGACAAGCCCCACCCACTTCACCACCTGTGGGCTGTGTGGCCTTGGAAGAGTGAATTGGCTGCCTGGTGCTCAGTCTCCCCAGCTATGAAATGGGGCATAAAAGAGCTGCTGCATGCCAGGTTGCCATGCCGCCTGAGTGCGCCAGCCTGCGGAGCCCAGGATGTGCTTGGGCTGTTGGACTCACTGATGGCTGGAGAGGACTAGGGGCAAAGGGGCCTTTGGCGTCTGGTGTCACAAGGACAGCACCGCCTCGGGCTGGACGGCTGGGATGTGTCCAGGCTCTGTGGGACACCAGGCCCCTCTCAGAGCCTTGGTCTCCCCATCTGTGTGAGGAGGTAGCCCTGGGAGGCTGGTGCTGACAGCAAGTCTGCTCCCTGCCCAGGGGTGTCTGGCTGGCCCTGCCAGGGTGGGGTGCTGTCGGGCTCTGGGCTCCCCAGCGGTGAGCATCTCCGAGACTCAGGACCAGTGGAGCAGCCCCCAGTGGGGCCCTGAGGGCGGACACCAGCTCACCTGGCAGGCGTCGGACTTGCAGTCAAAGTAGCCGGCACAGAGCATGTTGGGGCTGATGTCGGCACCATAGACCTCGGGGCTGCTGCACTTGTGGTCGGCGACCAGGGGGACCAGGGCCTCCCGCAGGGAGCTAGAGTAGCCGCTCACGTCTGTGGGACACGGTGCCCTCAGCCCGACACACACGCTGTGGCTAGCCACTGTCCACCCCAGTGGGCGCTGGGCACACCCTCCCAGCTCACCCTCGCTCAAGTGGCCCCAGCCCGCGATCTGGCACTTGTGCCCAGCAGGGAAGGTGCTGCCGGGTTCGGGCAGGCAGATGGGCTGCACGAACTGCGAGCGCGTGGCACAGCGGTCCCCTTTCTTCTTCAGCCGGATCAGGACTGATCAGGAGAGAGCCCAGGGTCAGCCTGCAGCATGTGGGCTGAAGGGGAGGCTGTCGGGGCCATGAGGGAGGGAGGGAAGGTGGCCAGTGGGTCCCACTAGGCAGCCTGGGAGATCCAGAAGGAATCGGTGCCCCGGCCTCCCTGCCCTTACCCCAACTTCCCCGCACCACGGCTGCCCAGCTCCTGCCCCTGTCCAGGCCTGGCCTGGGAGGCACAGGGCCCACCTGCCCACCATGCGGCCCGATGCGCTGGAGCTCACCAAGGTCGTGCTCGCTGGGGTTGAACACAGAGTACAGGGTGTAGGGGATGTACTTCTCAATGCCGAAGGTCTGCGTCACGTCCGTCGTGCGATTGAAGAAGTGCTGGCCCAGCACCACTGAGACACTGTCCCTGGGGGGGCTGTGGAGGGGGC